AATGGGAAAATATGAACTGAAATAAAATCACACTTTTCTGCGACTCATTGGCCCATTCGCAGCGTTGCTACTTGATGTACACGACCGGTCCCGAATCCCGCTGAGTACTGAATGAGAGAACCTTTCGAGAAGCAAGGCTAAGTGAAATTCAGTGTAGTGAGAATTTTCATTTCATATGAAAGTGCATGATGAAGAGATTGGTATGTCGATCGCGGCAGAAGATAACGGCTGATTTTCGTTGCACTACAGTCGTTTGGTTTTAATACGATGTTCAGGTTGACACATTCCATCAGATATCCTACCTCGTTTTGAATAGACGGGCTGAGCTTTCGTCCATCATTTGATTGGCCTCATCAGAGCCGGAACAATCTAGTATAAAAGTATTAACTAAGCCATTCTGTATGCATCTATATGTAAATATTATTTAATTGTGGGCATATATAGCATGCAGGATAGAGCTCAGATGAGGCTCATCGTATAACGAACGAAATTTCAGCCTGCTTACACTCGAAACAAGGGAGATCCCGTGGACTGCATCAACCGTATAGTCGTATTAAAGTCAAACGACTGCAGTACAACAGAAATCAGCCGTCATCTTTTAGAGAAATGGACCTACGAATCTCTTCATTATGCACTTTCCTACGAAATGAAGGTCTACAAAAATGTTATCTCGGGAGATTCATCGAATGTTTATTTTTCTTCTTATAAGAATGAAATTAAGCCGTGTCGTGAGTTCTTTATTCATTTGATTATTAAAACCTCAACCAGCATTCCTTCCATCCCCGTCAACGACCTCAGGCGACTCGAGCTCTTATAATGAAATATTTCAAAAACAAATAAATATAAAAATAATAATACAACGGTGACAAGCTATAATGACTTAGAATGACAATTCCAAAAAATTAAATGGCAAAAATATGTGAACCAGGATGCTATGACCACAATCGTAATTGTAACATCGCTTTTCACATAAGCGTCAGGTGGATATAGAAATTTAATATTCATTTAACAGCAAACCGAGCACAAGCTTGCCGGCAGCTTAGATTTGATGCGGATGGGAAAATTAGTTTGAAAGAAGTGGAAAAATCCTGGTTAAGAAGAGGGACTGGAGCGGAGCATACGATGTAAGTGAAATAATAAAAATAATTTAATAAGACAATGATAGTACACTACCATCGCAATAATTATTAAGTAGAGTAAAATAAGCAGGCCCGGATAATGCTGATAATTCCGGGGAAATCCAGCGTTTCAATTGTTAACTATACACTTTAAGTGAAACTTCTTTAGTGCCTGACATTGTTCGCAGAATTCAGATAACATTGTAGTCAAGTTTAACGTCTCAACGCCAGGAATGCCTGGCAGCCTGACCTGTCCATTCATCCTCTGGTCTGTAGTTCTGGGGCTTGATTCTGCTGAGGACGCTGGGGAAAAGAGCGAGTGTGACGACAAAGGCAATGTAGCAAGTCAGTCCCGGCATTAAAACGTCGTAGAGTGAACTCAGCAAGAGATAAGAAGGGCTGGAGTTGGAGTTCCCCTCAAAAGTGGCCGGCTGAGGGGGCGATGAGTCGTGGGGACCAAAGAGGCGAGACGAGGAAGCATGCGGAGAAGAGTTATCCGGAATACTGCAAAAATAAGGACACAGTCATGTGGGAAAAATAGGCTCAGTTGTTCAAAAAAGCAGGCGTGCCATTAAAATCAGCATTTCGAGTCTACTTCTAAATTTTGTCTCTATTTCGACGTCCCAAAGAAGCGCTTGTTGGCAGAAGAATTCGAGTCAGTCTGGAAAAATGAACAATTAAATGAGTCGACTTTACGCTTTTTCCACAATTCGGAGATAAATTTTACGCGGTCTGTCAGCATGAAAATAAAATTTCCCGATTGAACATATTGTGATTGCGCAAAGAGAATCTTAACTGACCCATTACGTACTTTGTCTCAGATTTACTTATCAACAAGATTTCTGAGCGACTCACCTGAGACAATAAGTAGATATCAACACAGGCAGGTATAGACTAACAAAATCACATGATGGCATTACCAATACTAACTTTATTAACCTTAGATTGCATGAGGTAATGAAGGACAGATAGTGAATTTGTCTAGCATAATAAAAGTGAACTCAATAGGGACTGCTGATGAGACCCTGGGGAGGTGAAAACCGCGGCCCATTCTGAATGAGATTATCCTTTTGAAGGCAATGGTATCGTCAAGCCCACTTATTGCATTGAGGTAGAATTCATTATCTGTCCTTCGTATCAGTTCTTAATCAAGATAAATTAAAAGCACCACTGGTATTTCATAGAGGCTATAGCGAAGTTCATATATGAAGCATATTCACCATATTTCGTTGATAAATGGATTGGAAGTTGAATTTTTCTTACAATGATATGAGAAGACCTTAAATTTTCATTGAATTTCACATACTAAAAAATATTTCCTTTCCGGCTAAAGTGGACCGCAGTGTTAGGCTCGCCTAGATCTTATCAACACTCCCAATGGGACTCGAACCATAATAATGCAGCGTATAATATCGATACAT